AGCGTTAAGAGCATTTGGCTCCTGAGCCCTTCTCACCCCATCCCAGACCGTTTCCATTCCAGTCCGTCAGATTTTGTGCTTCTCTGAATTTGGTGACGCAGCCCTCAACTAAAAAATTTAATAATCTTCTCTAAAACATGCGCCTTAGGATCAAGTGTGATTAGAAATGTATGCTTATGAGAAAATGCAGCTATAAATATTTTATGAGGAAAATGCACACACATGTATTTAAATGAGTGTTAATATATGCCTTTTGGTGGAAAGCTTTAAAAATATTTTTTGATAGAATGGATACATGAAAGTATACACATGAAATAGATTGATTTTTTTTTTCATCCCTAGTGGTAATCCATCAGATAAATGTCTGATGCAAATTACCGTGCAGATGCCATAGCTTTACAGGTATGAACAAAGGTCCTGGGTCTGATCCGTCTATTGAGTTTGTGTTGGAAGAAAATATTTTACTCATAGCTAGATGTACAAGCAAGGCTGTGAAACTGGTAGCCTTTTGCATCAATATTTTTCAGTACCGAGGCTTTTGCCAATTCCAGTGAAAGATTCGTGGCAAAGGTGAGCAAAAGTATGTCAGTTTCACAGCTGTCCCTTCACACTTCAAAAAAGTGAAGACTAAATTAGCGCTGGAAATATAATTCATGGTGTGACAGATTGAAAGATAATTCAATTGAAATGTACAGTGTAAAGTTTTTAAATTAATAACTAATGCACATGGATCATAAGCATAAAGCAGCCCTCTATCGTAATGCACATGAACTTTTCTGACTGGATTTTTTAAAAAAAAAAAATAGCCACGATGTTCTGTGAATTTTTCACAAATATCCAAAAACAGTGGATTGAAACAGGGAAGCAAAACTAGACAACATACAAATTATATAACTGTTGCAGTTAGTGATTTTTAAAATTAATTTTAAGCTATCAAGATTATGTTCATGATGTGAAAAACTTAATGTTTTCCCCAACTTCCTTTTTTTTTTTTTAATTCAATAATTCTGTACAGGCATGGTTCAGCACTGACCTCCATACACAAACATTGCCTGCCAAGGAGTACCAGCTTTCAACGACAAAAAAGCTGGGGGAGAAGAATTACATTTCTTCTCATCTGGTATGAAATTACATTTCTTCTCAACTTCTTCAATTGGTATGGAGAGAGGAAATGTAATCAACCATACCGGTTGATCATAACGCAGAGTAGGCCTTTGTGTGCTTCCGGTGAAGTCAGTAAAATCACAGATTGGAGCAGGGCAACACAATTTGTGTGATGTCTAATTTAGAACTCAATGGAATCACAGCTGATGTTTTTGTGCATTCCTCTTCCAGATGAATATAAGAGGTGGCAATTCATAAAGCTTAAAATCCAGTTCTCTCCAGCAGAATTAGTCAAAAGCATTGGAAATGGCTTGTGGAAATGCTCAGAAAGGCAAACTTGACCTGAATTCTTCAGCAAGAGCCCAACATTTTCCATCTGTTGAATGTAGTGGCTTTTATTTTGTAGCAGCTGCAGATAAATTGAAAAGAAACTTAATATGTTTTATTTAATCAAATAAGAAAATAAATTAGAATCAATAAATCATTTTCTGCTGCAGAAATTTATCATGCAGTTAATTTTGTGCTGCCTCCAAATGTTTTAATTCTAAATGGTCTGCAGAACTCTTTTTATAATTGGATCACAAATGCTGCCCAAAGGAAAGGGAAGATGTTTGTTTTTGTAGAGCAGAAAACTAAAATGATGCTGAAATGACCACTACGAGCTCTGCTGACAGTCCAATGGCCACTGCTGTTTCCAAAATTGTCGCATAGCCCTGCTAGATAAATGAATTGGCCTAGTGACAAGAACTTAAAAGTGGTGCAAGGAACTTGGCCCCACTGAAACAAAAACAAATTGCATCTGAGACCTGAGGGTAGTGAATTTGGAAGTTGCCTCTCTGTACGAACACTTTGTACCAAATGCAAATTTATCTTCTGATCAATTCTTTATAGAAGTCCTATAATCATAGGAGTGAACTCTCTTGAATTCTATGCGACTTATGCATGTATGATTATGTTGCATCAATTCCTTTGCACATGTCCATCTTGTACTGCAGATTTACACTTGTTTTTAAAAATGTGTGCTTTTTAAAATGAAAATGAGAGTCAATTTGGTTTAGTGGTTAAGGTACCAGGCTAGAAACTGGGAGACTGTCAGTTCTAGTCCCGCCTTAGGCATGAAACCAGCTGGGTGACTTTGGGCCAGTCACTCTCTCCCAGCCCTGGGAAGCAGGCAAGGGCAAACCACTTCTGAAATCTTGCCAAGAAAACTGCAGGGACTTCTCCAGGAAGTTGCCAGGAGTCAACACGGGAGGAGGAGGAGGAGGAGGAGGAGGAGGAGCAGCAGCAGCAGCAGCAGCAGCAGCAGCAG